CCTCGCAGGTCCCAGAGAATACAAAAGGAGCGCCACGGGCGCAACCTACAATTACCCTCATTTTCCGTGCAAGATCTCCTAATCCTTCTTCTCCCCCGCCGTCCTCGATCCGCGTTCTCGCAACCCCTACCGGACACGAGGGTGAGAACCGAAAATGAAGACGCACGAATTTGTGCCTTTATTTTTTGTCGAGAGGTAAAGTGGAACTCAATTACAGTGGGGGAGACAAGGATAATTGGAATCACGATAGCAGAATTTGAAAATTCGGGCTCGGAAATGTTGGGTTCAAACGTCGGGCGCAGCTATTAGACCAGTCTTTTAGCTCTTAATTTTAATTTTCCGTCTTCCAGAGAAACATTAGTTTGTTGGACAAAACGGGGTGCTATGTGCCATGTGTCGGCTGTGGCGCGGTAGAAAGGGGGAATGGAGAAATTGTGAGCTACCTGCATGTTTCGCCTTTTCCGTGAACCGAGAGTAAAAAAAAGACTTTTGCTATAAAAAAGTTAAATAAGCTTATGGTTTTTGATGGCGGCTTCTGAGGTCGGTGTGAATGAGAGGTTGATGGTTCGTGTGACATTGCGTCAATGGGATAATACAAGTTACATGACAGTTAAGCCAAATTGCCGCATGTCGTTTTTAAACGTCTTCTGAGGGCGCCAGTCAGTACAATAGAGTCAGTGATGTTTTGAACAATTTGAATGATTAAAACTCCTGTTACACTGTAACAATGTCTCATCGTGGATGCCATTATCTCTACGGAAGATAATTCTCTCATATTGGCCATTCCATCAAGGTGATAGGGTGGTGACAATTGAATATCTATTTAGAGGGAATACACAGGTCTAAGAATGTATTATGTGGTTGTCTCTAAACATTGATGATAAAAATCAGCAGGGCATAAATGAGAAGACCCGGATGCGATATAGGGCCGGGGCGACTACCCTTTTGAACAGTTTGGATGAAATGTTCATGTTACTTAATAACAGGATCGTATAACGGATGACTCGTACACTAGGAATATCGCAAATAGTAATGAAATTAACTCTTTAGTTTTTCATATAATTGAAATAATAACTTTAACAATCTTATATATTTCTTGTTGTGGTATCGCTAATTATTTTTTTGAATTAGTTAGGGTCCCAATGCTTATTATCAACAGTCCTCATTATATCTTTATTTGTAAATGCATTTCAAATAACAAGTAATTAACAATGTTACATTTATTCGTATTTTCTTGATTATCTTCTGATATTTAGCAACGTATACATGAGCACCTAAAATACTTAGGTGTTCCCTCTCTGGATATTTGTAGTACGCTCAGCATAAGTCTGGCGAAACAAGTTGTTTTATCCATTTTCAATAATGATATCTCAGACACAAACACGCAAAATTTGAAGTACATAATCTTGTTCGGGGAATGATGCCCGTGAATTAGTACCCACTTACAACAAAAATATATTTACATTATAGAGTGTTCCGCCAACAATCAATTTTATTCGCAGCATTCTTAAAATGTGCAAAATTATTAATTCTATATTTCATAAATTAATAATAAATTGAAATATATCATTATACTTACTCAAGAATTCTATCAGACTTCATCAGACTATCAGACTAAGGTGGAGGATCTTCTCGGAACAATCCTACGTAAAGTACCACTCAGCTTTAAAACAAAGTTTACGTATTCTTGCCTGACGGATTTTTTATTCTTTTGAGGTATTACTGGTACACATATTAGTTTTGCACGTTTCATCCTTCTTGGGAAACGACATAGCATGTTTCCGACTTTGTGAGATAGGTTGACTAGAAACGTCGACTCGAACAGCGAGGCAAGCAAGTGGACCTCTAACTACAAATTATGTAATAAAACAAATGATGTCGACGTGCGTGGTCCGTCGAGGCCGGCCATTACTTCGGCAGAGATTGCTTTTATAGAACCGCATTATGGACCGCCCGTCTTGACAATGCATTTTCATACGCCTGACACCGGCGTACACCCGGAAAGGCTGGCTCTGCTAAATGGACATTCTTGACTATATCATAACAAGTATGGGCAATTGGCTTTCCGAATCCTCTTAGAGATGATTCTCCTCGGTACGTACTTAGTCTGCCCCGGCAGATGGCGCTGTGCTTGGAATTATGTTTAACTACCGTAACGATCATCAGAGCTGAAGAGACAGATTGATGATAAAGATAATGTAATGGTTATCAACCGGTGATCTATGTTCTCGATAGCAGCAATATCCCGAAAATGACGGACCGTTCAAACGGGAAATGAAGTGGGGTTGGCTGCTGGGCCTTCTGATAAACAACAAACGGCCTGCTAACGTAACGTTGTTAGCGTGTGTGGTCTCTTTAAATAAGTTAATAGGAAACAGGCAAATATGTATTCTGCTTACAGATTGGTCTCATTCACTTCTGTATGCTCGTGAAATCATCTCTCTCATGGTCAAGGTAATTTGCAAAATAATACTTATCTAATTTTTAATGTTAGAAACTTAGATAAACTAGGATATTTTAATATGAATAGATTCATACGTTTACAATATGAGTAATATGAATTTATTCTAATATCAAATAGAATTTTGAAAATATAAGTCACATATTTTTAGAGAGATAGAAATGTAATAAACCAAATCTCTAATATATTATATCAGATTATTGAAAAGGTGGAACTGCTGTTATATTTTAGTTCGTGGGAATTTCATTATTCATTTTCTCTCTACCTTAAATTTTGGGAGTTTCTAGAATAATGTAACCATTCTCTTCACCATTTAAGAATGTAAATGAATTACTGATGTCCTACATATTATGAATGAATGAATAAATATGACCGTTATTAATAAAGACATCACACAGCTAAAGACAAAAACAGGAGAGTTTAGTTGAAAGTTTCCATGTAAATACAATCACTTCACAACGTTTTCTGGAACATATTTTATTCTCTTATTAACTTACTGTAGAAGGAGAAGGTTATACAATTAGCCGTGTATATTTTTTAAAAAGTTTGTTAAGCCATAATATTCGGAAATGTGGGTATATTTAAATGAGTTTTCCTTTCTATTGAAGGGTATAATCTGCCGGTGCTTTTACGGTAATTTGATGATATTCTGATAATGGAGTTCAAAGATGTTACTATCAATAATGTGGTACAACACTTAAACCGAGAAAACATCTTAAGTCCTCGTACGTAGATCTTGACATTCAATCTTCGATATCATTCATAAAACAATTAAACCGCAACGTCTTCCTACGCCTCCTTTCAGCTCCAAATATAATTGTCATTCCATAAGGAACCACATCTTCACGCTTTCCAAGAGTTAAGAACCCATACCCCCGTGATTTCAAAAAAAAATCTTTTTTTCTGGAACCCACTCTACTATCGCCACCTCACAAAATTATTAAGAGAATTATACAAAATACAGGAGAGTCATTGGGTTCCAGCATTTGGATTGAAGAATTGAGGATTGTATTTTAATTGGAAAACCTGGTCATGAAATGGCATTATCATTGGTATCAAATAGTGTAATAAATGTATCTACATATTACGTTGTTTCCTGAAACCTTTACGTGTAAAGCCTTGTAGCTAACCTGTGAATAAAAATAAATTTAAAAGAAGTCGTACGTAGATTTTCCCAAGTTGATATAATTCGATTGACCTGCCTTACCATTAAGTTTAACGAATTTGAAAAGTATTTTTAAATTGTATGGGAATATTTCAAACATAATTCTTCATATTTCATACGATGTACTCTACATATTACAGTTTGAACATTTTGTCAAAAATTTCATATATTTCATATTTTAAAATATTGCACAAATAAACCGAATCTTCATTAACATCAGAATTTTTGGAAATTTTGAAAGTGCCTTTATTCTAACATCCCCTACATCAAGTAGAACATAAGTCGTAATGTAAAAAAGTATTTAAATGTGAAGTAAAAATAATTACGAACATACTAAATATAGTCTTTGGATTCTGAAACGACCTTATTTAATCATTAATGCCTTTTTAAGTCATTGCCGAATGGGAATACTAAATATAAGTTCGATTTCCCCCCCTTAAAGTGATATTTTTTAATATTCCAAAGCCGTTTTTTTTAATTACATTAAAAAAATGATTTTAAGCCCTATAAATAACGAAAACCATGATAAAATACAATCACTAATCTTTGAAAATATCAATACATTTACAAAATGTTATCACTTTGTCTTGATAACTTCTTGGTGATTAAATGGCATTGAAAAATTCTTCTCCCATGTACTCTTGCGTATCTTGATTGATAGGCAAGATTGGGGCATTCTTATTATCGTCAGTATAATGAATATAATGCCACTTATTATCAATAATTATTTTTTCCGATATCAAGTAGTTAAGTGTATCTGCAACTCAGATACTTTAACCTTGTTGTTTATCTGTATCTTGCGACCTTCTTTGATAGAATATGTTACGCAGCAAATCTGTGTTAATGGTACATCAAAAAAATTATTGATTTGCAATATTTTTCATTATATTTATTTACAGTCGCATCGACAACATAGTTATTAGTGACATAACGATTTTCGGTATTAAAGATAATTCATTTATTTTTATTAGTTATGCCAGTATTTCAGAATGGAAAGAGTTATAGAATCAATTACTAATAAAAGCAGATGTCTCTTAGAAGTTATTTTGTAGTTGGCCTATTAATAGAAGGTAAAATGTACTCCTACGGACAAGTTTTTTAATAACTTAATACAATTTTTTTAAAGAAATAGTAATACGAAGTTTTTTTAAATAAGAAATATTAAATAGAATAAATAATAAAAAAATACAAATAAAATTTTATTTGTGGAGAAATTACTGGAACTAGAAATTTATTTATAAAGAAAACCTTCCTCTTTAATAAAATTTCATAAAAATAAGAAAAATTGTTTTGGAAGTAGTATCATCACCGAATGTTAAGAAATAATAAATTATTTTAGTATATTTAACAAAAAATTATTTATTTTAACATATATTCCCGATGTTCTAATTACAAAAGTTAAAGTTTAACCAGATCTATACATTTCATACACGCATGTTGAGCAAAAATGAAAAACAAAACATACTTCACATTCTTTCAGCAGGGACGGGTAATATTTACAATTTTTCAAGTATTTTGAGTGTAAGCAAAATGATCATTTTTCTCTTCATTATGTAGTATATGTTTATTTGTATAAGGAGGTTCTGAAATAAACATTTTTATTGAAAAGAAATGGATTTTAGAGTGTTTAAAAATGAATTTTAAATATGCTATTCATAAGTTGTCTTCTGGAAGTGATATCAATAAAAAACATGATTATTTCTCATTTCATTCACGGTTCTATATTCTTCTCTATTGTACTTTTCAACAAAGCAAGAACTGAGTTGCAGACTGTGTGTTATGTGGCATGTAATGAACACTGCGTAGTATCAGTCCTGGATCTGCTCCTGGATCCAGTCGATGTAGTAGGACACTTCGGTGAAGACGCCGGGGAAGGGCGCGACGGTGCAGGGCTTCTGCGACCAGGAGACCACTCCCACCTGCACGCCGTTCGCCACCAGAGGGCCGCCGGAGTCTCCCTGCAGGGCAAGGGCACAAGCGCTCATAAATACGTTAACCATCACAATCAACACCGTTTCGGTATCTTGAGAGAAACACAGTTGTAACCCAACTAGTTTATCCCGAGGAGGGTTAATGGTAGATCTCAGAATAAATTGAAATGTAATTGAAGAAAAAAATATATTTATTGAGTAATACTTGTATTTACCAAACCATTAGCGTCAATTTTTGCATGTTTCTTTCAACAATTACAGTTTTTGAGGTATTGCAGGGTATACACATTTTGGTTATATTCTGTACGAGAATCTAATGACCTCGTCTTTTATTTTAAAATAACTTGTTCAACATTCACTGTTACTACGATTGCACAACTATTGTCTTCCCCAATACGTACTGAAATAAAATTTAAATGTCAATATGGGCAGTAGTGGCTGAAAGATAACGTTGGAGTTTCTAAAAAGCGATTTCTCACGGAGGCAGTGATCACTTAGGATTGCGAAAGGTACAAATAATAAAATGTCTAACCGACGAAACAGCAACTCTTTACCTACAAAACATTATATAGAGGGATGCTAACACCCGTCCTCAACTTCTCCTCTGATAGTAGTAAATGGTTTTGAAGAAGCTCGAACATCACCAAATTATGACGTCCCTCAATAATATTAAAATATTGATCATTTGTAACCAAATGAATATGGAAATTAACTATGATCTTCGCAATTTTCATAATTAATATGAAAACATTTTAATGTATGTATGAACAAGTATAAATTCGCAAAAATAATTATACTTGTGATTCCTAATCCGTCTGACGGTGCAAGAACTTTCTTAGTCATTTTAGTCAGAAATTCGTTCTTGAATGAAAAGAAAAAAGAAACGATTTCAAGCGCAACACTGCTTCACGACATGCGAGGAGAAACGTATTTTCATATTTTAGAATGAATTGCATGTATCTAAGAAGATGAAATAATTTATTCAGTGGAAATTAAAAATCACTTAATAAGCCAGTAAGTCCGTGATGTTTCTGATATCGTGTGCGCTGTTAATTCAGTCGACGTGGTTACCACCATCTCAATAATGTATTCGGTCAGTATCCATTTGCACTTCTACTGGCCGTGTAATATGGGTAACGCCTATGCCCCTAGTGTAATCTAAGAGTAGCAGAGAAATATTATTAAGCTAGAGAACGATTTTAGAATTGAGCTTGAAGACTCCATTTAGTGTTTTTTTACGTTCTGCAAATCTTCCTGTCTGGCAACCTAAATTACAAGCATTTCTGGAGTCCTACGAGGATTTCTTTCGAATTTGATTTTTACGTAATATGAAACAGTTATGATCTTGTACAAACTATGACGCACTAGAACTGATCAAAGACTTTATATTATAGTCTACTTACGTTGCACTGCCCTTTGCCGCCGCCTGGGACACCAGCGCAAATGTTACTGGGATGCGGGTACATCGGGGTGTATCCAGGAATAGATGAGCTGTGAATAGCCAGACACTCCTCGTCGGAGACTATCAGAATGTCCACAGTTTGAAGCCTCTGCATAACGGAGCCTCCAGTCTGTCGAAGATGTAACTTATTAGAAATCTGGTACGTGAATATTTGTAATCTCTTAAGGAAACGTACAAGTACAATTAAGCGTTTTAATGGCACCTACAATATCATCTAGAAATATTAATCCCCGCAAAGTTATAGGTATTTATATTTAATTTTTTCTTCTTTATTCTACAGTATAGGGAATAATAGCAATGGGGACACATCAACATTAGTATTTCAAATTTCCAGTCGTAAAATGCAGGTTTAAGGTTCAAGGACTTAATGATTATTTTTCTGGTAACCAATATTTGTCAAAAGTTTCTTAGTCGGCCGAACACATTTTGGAAGGCAAACCAGCTAACCGAATTTTGAATTAGTGAGAAATATGTGCATATGCATAGGGAACATTAAGAGGAATGGAAAAAATAGAAATCATTGAATGGGAACTTTCTAGTATCTCTGTATACCATTGTACTTATTTTCGAATGTTACGGCAAAGCCGGAATCACAAAGCCAAAAATTATGTTGAAAGGCAGGGAAGCAGTCATAGTATTAACGCCTTCATACGTGTGAGAAAATGCAGAAATTATAATTAGGTTGAACATAGTTTACTTTTTTGGTCTTAGTAGAAGGACTGTCTGAAACTCGATGTAATGGAGTACAGTAGTTTCGAATATAACGTCTTAATATTTTCCGTTCGGCGCAAACAATATGTCGTATGTATACTGCCACGTATACCTTACAAATAAGAACTCACATAAGGAAGTCCCCATCCTGTGAGAACGGCAGGAGTTCCAGCAGCTGTGTCTTGCATCTGAGCTGGCAGCGTGATGGGCTGAATGAGGTCATTCAACGGCAGAGGTGCGGCCAGCTGTGAGCATTAAGTTATGGTTTTAGAATTATAAATCAAAACTGTCTCAATTCATCTTTCTTAAATTTCTTAAATTCTATTTGTATAAAATTGTTGGAAGCGTTCATACTTATTTGTACTAGTTCAAGAACACTACTGCTGAGAGTTCGCGATGGAAATAAGTATATGGCAAAGTGGAACTGAAACTTACGTGTAATTGTTTTCTTGGGTTGCTGAAGTTAGAATTTTTATTTTTTTGTATACACATCTTCGAAACTGAAATATTTTTATGTATTCTTGTATATTCTCTATTCGTATTTTTTTCTTATATTATATCTCTGTCAGAAGACTGCAGCTTCTTTTAAAAGGCATTTTTATACAAAGCCATTGTTGTACAGGTTTGCAACTAATTATAGTGATGTTGGCAAACTATCGACACGAAAGACAAAAACTAGGAGAATGTTGAAAGAGACTGAAGTAGACATAATATTAACGCCTCCAGAATTGCAAGAAAATGCAGAAATTATAATTAGGTTGAACATCGTTTAATGTTTTTTAGAAGGATTGTCTGAAACTCAATGTAATAGCTTAACATTGATGGAATGGATTGAATCCATGTAATGGTTTACACTCGTAATAAAAGATAACGGCCGTGCCTAGAGAGGAACGAGCTAGTGTCGTAGCGCACTTCATTCTCGTGTATTGATATCCATGATTGCAACATAGTTTCTAAATATTATTGTTTATCTACCTTCAGAACAGCGATGTCGTGGATGTAGTAATTGGATGGACGATACCCGGTGTGATATCTTACTGCTGCGACGGGTACCTGAACACCTTCCCCAAGTTGCGTTGTGCCGGCTTCGACGGATAAAGATGAAGCGGAAGACCTGCGAAAAAAAATAATGGCATGTCATGGGAAACTTATACACTGAACAAGAGTTGAGGTTGAATATTAAAAATGCGTTCTTAACGAAGAGAGGAGCGTCTTTGTGGCTTAGGTGAACTGGAACTCAAACTTACCTCCTTATTTGGAAGTCGTCAATGATATTTGAATCCCTACTTTTTTCCTTTTATCTTAAATAATTGTAATATCATATAATAGAGGACAGTATGTCATAGCGGCGGCAGCATCATTGCACTCCATTCCCCAGAGCTTACAACCTTAGGGTGTAAAAAGGGAATCAGCATTAAATGCTGATCCGCCCAATAGAAAAGTAACGTGCGCCTACCCGGATAACCATGACTGAACCCCGTTGGGATACACGTATCACGTCACCTCATGATCACCAATTGGTGAAACAAAATAATAAAAATAATAAAAATAATAATAATAATAATAATAATAATAATAATAATAATAATAATAATAATAATGTGGAGAAATGGATTACAATTGTTTCGCTTGGTTACAATAAATTAGGGCACCAATGGACGACGGGCATATAATTTCAAATATTAATTGAAAGTACCCCTTAGGTATCAAACCAATTCGTTTCCATTATAACGGGATTAATAATGTGCAAGAAATGTTTGTCACAGAAATATAATAAGCATCTATTGGACAATGCATTATATTACAGTTACGCTTTGAATCACCGGTGTAACTGGTCAATGAGGTTTCTCTGTCTTCCCTGCACGACCACTGTGACGAGTTAAGCTAGGCATTTGTCTTTATCTAATCATTACATCTTTACAACTTTGATGATAGTAAAGGGAACAAATGGGTTGTACAAGTTATTTCCGTTGCTTCATCTTTTTATTAGGTCTTTCATCCAATCGACAGCCCTTTACGGGACGCATACTCGACCATTCACTAGACAACACACTTGCGAGCTCCTCTGATCTGTGGTCAGCAGAACTCGACACACAGTTCTCGAGACTCGACAACACATACGTGAGAGGTAAGGGACACACAACCATGCCCAAGACGGAACTCGAATCTGTGACCCTTCGGAGCGAAGCGCTGAGCCCGGATACGCACTTACCTAACTCAGCCATCCAGGTCGGCTGCATTACAACATAATTTCCAAAGTATCACAAATGATATCGTTTTGCTTAGGAAAAAACCATTATTCGTTTCCGTAATTTTCCATTAAACAAATAATTTCAAGCTAACTTTGTGCAGTTTATTTGAAAAAAATAGAAAATGTGCTAGCATCTACTTACCCAATAACGCAATGAGCAGCTGTGAGAATGAAGTTTTCGTTGATTATACTGCCTCCACAGCTGTGTCTTCCATTGCTTCTCAATGAGATCTAAGAAAGACAAATACATTGTACAATGAAAAGTGATTGTTACATTAGTCTTTCAAAATAATTAAAGCATTAGATAATACAAACTATAGTTAGTGAAATGGACATTTGATACGTAATCGGACTGATCGGAATTGTAATAAACATGTTGACTGTGTTCACAATATATCATTCAAAAATTACATGATTTTAGTAGAATTTAGTATCCTTGAGCAAAGAGATATTTAAAGTTAAATATCGATGTTTGTCTTTTGATTAAAAAATATATTAAATACACTAACATTTTGTAACATAACTTTGTAATATTATAGTTTTTGTAATATACTGTCCGATAAAGTTGGAACATCTATACACAGAAAATAATAATAATAATAGTAATAATAACAATTATTATTATTATTATTAGTTTGTATTATGATGGAATTTTCATTTTCAAATGAAAACTAAAATTTTCCCAATAGGCTTCTCAATGTTTCCATTGGTAGAATTGTTTTAGTTTACGTTACCTGGTAAGGGTACTGTCCTGACAGAGCATCTGTTCCATTCACAATTCTTCCTCCTGCACTACGTTCCATCAGTGGGGGAGCCCCTGAAACGTTGGAATATAATCAGTGATACCATTATTTAATTACATTTTGTTGATGTACTAATGAAATGCAAAAGGAAGGATGGTGAGCAATATTTCACTGCAAAATATTGCAGAATATTCTACTTTTTTTTTGTTTGACGTATTTCTATAGATTGAGGTACATAGAAATGTTACCAAGACATCAATATTTTCTCTCAGAAATTTATTTCATTGATCTATTTTTGGAGAAAAATGTCTTCTGAAAGCAGGGCTTTCGTTAAGAAGAATAGTGTGGTGTGTCAATCTTCCCGGTCTAAGATGTCCTTTATTCCCCTAACATGCCAAACTTCATTATTCAAAAAAATATTATATATTGTTTTCATTAAATAATTCAAAACAAAACAAGATAACACAAAGGCGAGGTGAACTATGAAACATAGATTTTTAAACATTGATATTGCGTTTCATAGGATCGACACTGTTCATTCATAGATGATTAGTAACATTACATCTTTGGGAAAGTTTCTATTTTCATTAAAACCTCTGAAAGTTTTAAAATTGCAAAAATTCAATTATTATTAGATCGTTTCACACACCTCAATTATTAAGGGCATATATTTATTTGCCAGAGCAATTTATTCCTTATCAGTAAATCTTCAAATGGCGCAAAGCCATATAAAAATATGAGTAGTTTTTTAATCATAACAAACGAATTTTGTCGGAAAATTGTCGGTATGCAGCATTTCCATTCTTTTGGATTTTTGATAACAGGCTTTCAATGGTTTCTATATTATAATTAGCCGTAACTGCATAAATAACTTATTGGTTAGCAAGGCGGCTTCAGCGCTTCCGAACCGCGGGGTCACACCTAGACAAGGAAGGCGGATTATTGAGACGCGAAAATTCTCGCCATACAGTGTACCGATGGAAAAACCATAAAATATTGCTTTGATATTTTTCGAAAATTAATTTGGATAAGATAAGCGCCTAATCACAGATTGGGATTGGCTCTCTGCTTGCGAAGATCGGCTCAACATTATTATTATTATTATTATTATTATTATTATTATTATTATTACTATTATTATTATTATTATTGGTGGGATATACAGGTGACGACAGGAGATGTACCAAAATAAGCAGTACCCTAAAAGTATGCAGCGGACCGCGCGCGATCTTCGTTTTCTGATCCTTGTCCCTTCTTCTCGTTACACTTTCATACAATTAGATCAGTAGAGAGTTATGAGCTAGCCCTGACTGGGAGGGTGATCCGATGGAGGAGATATAAGGAGGGGGAAATCTTGGAAGCGAACGTTCCGGTCAGCATCGGCCACAAGCATTACCGATACCTTTGCCAAATGACCAAATGACCAAAGTAGTTGACGCGCCCGGAAACTCACTCGCTGACGAGAAGCAGGAGTCACTTCGAACGGTTTTTTGACTTTTGACATGTAGTTCAGCGGCGTGTGATGGCAATCGCTAATAAAGATATTGACGACGCGAACTGTTTCATCTATACCTTTAAAATAATTTTCTGTTCCTCGTATATTGTCTTTTGGAGATAATTATAAACTTCGAATACTCTACACGTACCTTGGACGTTGCTTCCTATCAAACCTACAAACCTTTTGAAATAGGTTTTCGGTTTTAGTTAATTTTGATACGGTTTTACCAGTTTATTTAAAGAACATCAGTTCTAAACGATCATGAACCAATCGACCTGTGGCACATATAGTTCAGTAAATTGTTTGGTTTCGGCCCCACAAATATCCCAGGGCCAAAGGAACCTAATTTTAAGGTATCGCAATGATGGGTGATCTGGGCTGTCCGGGTGACGCCGCGTCGAAGGCTGAGTTGCCCATCACCCACATGACTCTGGCCGCAGAAGCCTACGACTTCGTATCGATATGATGTTCAACAGTTTTTCTTCCGGTTTGATGTTTTGCTACCTATGTCAAATTCATCAAGCAACTTACCCCAACAGACGGCGACGACGCCCAAGACGGTGAGAAAGCGGAGCATTGCGGCAGCGCAGCCGATTGCGTGCATCTGGCAGCGTTGAGCCTTTATAGAGCTGTCGGCCTCGCATCACTCCTGATAAGCTCTCGCTGCGGTTGAGCCTCACGTGGTGCTTTTGAAAAGCACCTTGATTGAGCACTCGATGTTGCTCTTGATCGGATGAATGATAGGGCCAGACTTCTCGGCGCACCAGGCCAGTCTGTGACGTTTCGGAGAAAACCAGAGATAATTCTGGAAAAATTATGTTTCATGTTTAATATGCTAATAATTATTGTTTTAAAACAAAACTTGGGTAATGATAAATATGTTTATTTGATATATTTCTGCCCTGTTCTTAAGACAAAAAATAATTTTCAGGATTTAAATTCATCTGTCTTTTGTAGTGTAAGGAAAATAAACGAAATACTAACTACACTGAATTATTAAATTATGTGCGTAATGTGAACGTCTGCTGAATTTAATAGTGTTTAGATGCCGTATGACTTTTAATAATACCTCTAGCATTTTCATGCTTAGTTTCATTGTCAAAATACTCAGTTTAAGACTAAGGAATTCAGTTGCTTTTACGTTGATTTGTTTTAGCCCATCCAATAAATACATTATTATGATAATTATTTCGTTTGCAATATTCTATAGGTCTGGTACTTGTGGAAATAAATGGAGATCAACATGAAAGTAATTTGATTACTTTGTTATCGCGAGTGTTTCAATATCTTTTTCGTTTGTGGAATAGGAAATCAATTCACACGTATTCCCTTTTTCAGTTACTCATTTTTTGTCTCGTTTTCATCGAAAGTAGAACATACTTCGTTGTATTTCCACTTTCTGATCTGTTTAGTATTTGAGGAGGCTGAAAGTCAAGATCCAGTTCTGATTTCTATATCTCAGATCAAACAATAGGCCCACACATCGTGATAAGTTCGATTGTCTTCTCAGGCGGCTCCGAATCGCTGCTCTCTTGCACGTGAAAAAACTGGAAAATCCACATGTGTACTCATCTCTTAATCAAGATTGACTGGCAACACTTGTAGACCCCAACCATGAATTGAATGTTTGAATTTACTTTACCTTCCACTGTGAGTCTAGAACCTAATCAAATTTAGAAGAGCCAAGACAATGTTTCATAAAACACTTTATTAGTACTGAGCTAGTACGTATGTTCGTGTTTTTTGGGAAAAAAATACAACGTAAAACAAGTGATCCTTATTTGAATATCGCTCTAAATATCGTTTATTATCATCGCTGATGATCGTAAGGAAGGCGACGACATGAATTTTTTTCAAATATCAGCATTTCCTTTAAATATATCGACATAATTTTGATTCAAAAATGGAAAGGTATTAGGTAAATTCTTTTCTTCATTGTTTTTATTGGTAAATTTGAGGGTTATAATCGTTTGTATTTACAGAACAAAGTATTAATGAATGTCATTCTTCTTCCTGTACGTTTCTCAACTCATTCTCTAATTATTTACATATTGATGGCATACAAAATATAAATCAAGAAATTCACTTACATGTTCTTAATGTGATATGCCTCCATTAATATTCTTTTTCGCCAAATATTTGTCATACTTATTCATTACCTTTACGATTATTACGATTTTTTGATCCTGAATCATAGACTAAGTGAACTACTCACATTAAACAATTTTAGAATACATTTGTGCGTTAAAGTTAGTTAAGAGACTTGTGTTAAATGTTGTTAGTCAAAAGTTATTAATTTGTATATTTCGTTTTCAATGTTACATGTGTTACATAGTGAGATAAAATTATATGGATTTTGTATGTGGGTGCTGGGTATTCCCCTCCAAGTGAGAAGAGCGAATTAACGAATCACGTCCGCCGAGACATTCGTGACTTTCGTGATCGGAGACGTAACTTGCCAGTGATTCGAGTGCTGTTTGTCATTTGGAAGGAGACACATCCTTTCAGACGAGTGACAAGTGATATATAGATAGCTGAGTTTTAGTTTTTAAGACCGTAGTTATTTACAATCTGATCTGCAGAGTGATTATCAATGATGATAATAATTATCCTTTTAAAAATATATAATATACATTATTTGCAATAATCCTTAATACGTGATATATACATGTTTAATACTGAAAAGTAAAAAAAACAAAAGAAATCAAGCAGGAAATGCTGGAGCATTTGAATAAAAATATTTTTAAAAAAAACCAAAGGTAAGATAAAAATCCATGACAAACCTTACTGTGCAGGCTTCACCACTTGTAATGTATGCAGCGTAAGTTGGAACAAACAACATTTTCTCGTAGTTTGCTAGTTTTTTTCATATATTTTTCTTCTGTGTACTTAGGGATGATGACGTCATTCAACAATTCAGTAATGTCACGATTGCATTCCCAACCTAAACGTATTGTGAGTGACGTGACACCTAAGTGGTTTTTCTCGCTTCTGAAGTCAGCCTGCTGCAGCGGCAGTTCAACATCAGCTCTCAGTAGCTCCGGTAACTCATGCATGTTATTGTTTGAATTTCAACTTGTATTGTAATTTTTACATGACTGCTGATGAGACAGGACTGCCATCAGCCACAGCCTCAATGCTTCACACTAACTGGTAGCATTCACAGTTCGACTATGAATAAGAGTACACGGCCCACGTACTTTTAAATCGTAAAGAGAGTCCGCTGCACATAATTTCTTTCAGATGTTCCGTATATTTCAGAATGTAGAAACAATATGTCGTTCTTACTTCATGTCCTGGGTCGTACAATTCACCATATTACCACCTAACAAAATCCTGCAAGTACTCGCTTCTTATCTATGAAACATCATCAAATCATTCACCCTAGTAATTCTGTGGTTACATTTTCACGCGCATTATGAACCGGGGTCCTTCGGAGGTTATTATTTTTTCATTTCAATGATGTTTTTAACGGTTTTGCTAAATTAATTAAGTAATGTAAGTATTCTAAATGAAAGGAACAATCGGGTTTAGGCTGTGAAAATAGAAAAAATATTATTTTCTGGCATCATTATTTGTATTTAGTGACATTTAATGCATTTTAAAGACTAATACTTAAAATACGAATAATAAATATATTTTCAAAATGTAGCCTTAGTTTTCTAGTTTAGTTTTCTAGTGAATAATCCCTAACGTTTTTACTGAGAGCTAAAGTCGTTATGAGTACTCTAATTCTCACATATTTGTGATACATTGCGTCGTATTCGTATTTTGAAACAACAATTCGTCATAAATGTGAATTATTTTCAGCCTCCTAAGCTTTTAACATACAAACCAAACAATCATCAGACTGTCTCTTAGTCCCCACCCCTTGATATTCCTAAGGTTAAGATCCCACATCCCTACCTCCCCAGCCTCGGGCTCTTTTCACACCCTTCCAAATCCTGCACTCGTTGCCCATTCTCTCACCCCCGTCTCTGATCCCCCATCTCCGCACACCTTCCCCAGTCCCTTCCTTCACCTCCTTGCCCTATTTGTCTTTTCTGTACTCCTATTCTCGTATTCCGTACTCCGCATTCCAATTTCCATTCTGTCTCGCATCCAACTCTTCACATCCTGAATTCCAATTATCTCATGCAATTCCCCGCACCATTATCCTAGTATCCATATCTTCACATCCCACTCTTTACACCCCAATCCCCACCGCCCTTCCTCGTTCATTTATATCACGACACGACCCTGGTACCCGGAATCTCATCCTTCCAACCATCCTCGCACCTATTCTTCAATTCTTCATTCCGCACCCCTTCCCCGCATCCATTCCCACATCCCCACACCCATTCCTCAATTCTCCGTTCCACACACTTTTTCCGCACCCATTCCCAAATCTCCGCGCCCCTTCGTCGATTCTTCATTCCGCACCCCTTCCCTGCACCCATTCACACACCTCGCACCCATTCCCTCACCCCGCACCCATTCCTCGATCCTTCATTTTACACCACTTCTCCGCATCCAATCCCTCATCCCCGCACCCATTCCTCGATTCTTCATTCCACACCCCTTCCTCCGCCTGCATCCCCGCACAAAGGCCTGCGTCGCGACGAAGCGCGGGCGAAGGGGCGGCCGTGTGATATGCATTATCAATGACGGGGGATTCAATTTGCCAAAGGAGGGCGGGCGGGCCAGGGCGGCGCCGAGGCGAACCAATCAGCCCAGACGCAGCGAGGAGGGGGGACGAGGGCCCGCTCCGGGAGAGAGAGTAAAGGAGCGGTCCACATCCACCGCGCAAATTTGTCAGGAGCTGTATTTCAGCCCAAAGGTTCCGATTAAAAATAACACTTTTAGTCGTGATAAGGCGAAAAAGGCGGGCAGGAGAGCCTTTAGGCAAGACGATCGTCGCCCGCCGGGCCCGTCCCCCAACCGGCGCGGCGAAGTGGGCTCGCTCCCCACCTCCCACTTGTACCACCCGCCCGTCTGTCCATTTCCCGCGTCCCGCCCCCGCACCGCCAGTGCGCCGCACATACCTCCACCACTACCCACCGCGCTACCTCTACCCAGGTGCCTCACTCTCCCCCTCCTGCTGCCCACCCGCTCCTTCACCGCCGTGTGTCTCCCTTATCCTCCCCCCAGCCGCACCATCCTGCCATTGTCCCAACCCGTCCCCGAAGGCTGCTCCAGTTCCCAGACATTCCGCTCCGACCCGCCTTTGCTTTCGTGGTCCCGTACCCTTCCTCCTCCGATGTGCCTCCATCCGCATCCCGCTCCGCCATGCGCTTCCGCCGCGCCCGCTTGTCCCGGCCCTTCCTCCCCTGCGGACGCCACCGCAGCCGCTAGCGCCAGCGCCCCCGCCGCCGCAGATTCGAGCTCTGGGCCGGCGTGATTTATAGCGCTGTCCTACTGACATTTCGGTTTGTTGTTGATTTATCTATCGCTCCTTTGAGAAAGTTCTGCGTGGGGTGAGTTATTTATGAAACGAATCTGTCAAGAGAACAATTCGCCCCACTCCGCCGCAATGCTGGAGAAAGGGCCGGGGGCGGTCGTGTGTGTTTTCGGCGTGATATAGGACGGAAGCGAGTTTTGATGCGGCTCCAAAAAAAATATACTTGAGATTAATTTTTTATATGTATACAATTTTTAACGTGGGTCCGCCTTTTGTGGATGAGGAGCGGTTGAAGTGGTGCTATAAATCACGAGTCAACGGATTAATTATTGATTTCATTGACTTTTCCTCCAATTGGATCAATTTAGCCCGAGTGAATCATAATATCGTTAGATATCTGAGATTTATGTTTTGATTATTATAATTTATTGCGATGACAATGGCGAGCGAAGAGTTGGATCCTTCGGAGTGTCGGGTCGATATAATGGCGGTTTTGTGATACTTTCTCTTAGATAGGAATCTTAGATAACCTTCGTGAACGGTTGGTGCGTTTGAAAGGGCAATCACTTATAAAGTGTTTCTATATTGAAAGCTTTGTCATTGTTGATAGGGAAGTTTCAGTTTTTAATTTTTGCTTTTTGTTACATTTCTATTATATGTTGTTCCTATCTAGTGAATGAGGTGATAAAAAAATTGTCACGTCATAATCTAACAAACACTTCCTTGAGTAAATTATAAAATTGGCATAGGAACGTACTACAAAATTTTCGAGATCGTTGATTAAAATTTGAAGATACGTTAATCTGTCGTTATGAACAAACACAACCTTGGTAAATCATTACTAACGCCTGTAAAAATTGATGAGTAATAATACTTCGTTTTAGAATGCATGATTTCCGACATTGATATATTCACCATTGTATATTATATATCTCTTCTGCTCTTTGTCTGAAAATTATTTTTTTTCATTATTCGTTTTGCACATACTACAACGATGTCGCTTTCGATTATTCTTCTGCATTAAACTAGTGTAGTTAAAATAATTAAAACAACCTTGGTTATCTATTTTTACTTTCTCGCACTTACTAACATAAAAAGAGAAACTATTGTAATCGTGCGCCGGAAAATGACAAATTTTCGAATCTAAATCTCTTATTACCGGGCTCTGGCAAGGAAAAAGTGAATAAATCCTGATGCTAAAATTAAGGGGGAAAATCCTCCAACACGTAGTGTAGCCAGAATCCATGTTTTGTTCGTTATTGTTACCAAAAATTCGATTGACGGCAAAACGTCTGTCCTCTCCTACCGACCGACCGTCTGTCTGTCCGTCAGTCCGTCCGACTGTCCGTCTGTGCACAACGCTAGCACTTAAATCGTTTAACCGATTTTCTCTAAAATTTATTTTCCACAATCATTCAAGTCGCGGACTCTGAAATTTGAAACCGATATTTTAATTTTTGCCGGGCACTTTATATAAAACCACTGGGATATTATCAAAATTTTCAAAAAAATGGCTCCAGATTTTTTGATTAAATTTTGTTGTTGAATAGCGGAAAGGACGTTTAAGAGAATGGTGAAGGTCTCATTTTCGTTAACATCCCCGACTTTGGGAAAAATAAAAAAAACAAATTAAAATTTCAAAATTGGGTATATAGATTTTTTCTCACAAAAATTCTCTTATTCAAAATTGCCTCTTTGAAAAAGGTCATGTCCATTTTTTTGGATAAACTACTAGTTTTTGTGTTATTTGCTATTGAAATGTGAAATTTTTCACCGCTCCAAATGTTTCCTTTTTTTACGTGTGTAATACGAGACGATAGAAATATGGTTCTAGTCATTTTCGTGTATTGCTCATTTTTTTAATCAAAAAACTACAGAATTGAAAACAGAGATTTTTGCCTCAAACAGTATCAATTGTACAAAATTAGCTCTTGAAAAATATCACGTAAAATTGTAAAAATGAGAAGTTTTTGCGTATTTGCGATTGAATTTTACAATATTTTTTCCAAAAACCGCTCCAAATGTTTTCTTTAAGTTTTCTCCACATATGTAATAAGAAACTGGTGCTTGTTTTTTTTTCTGGAAATTGCAAAAAACGTTTCAAAACTACCGTATTAAAGAAAGAGAATTTTGTGTCAGACAATGTCTGTTGTACAAAATTTACTCTTCAAAAAAGGTCATTTACAATTTTATGAAAAAAAGTAATTTTGGTTAATTTTTGCTTGAAATTAATAAAAGTTATACAGGTTTCACACACCAACACGGGCTAAGAGAAAAATTGATATGAAAAATGCTGTGTTAGTCAAATAGGATGAATCTCACATTACGATCCAATTTATTTTAAATAATATTCCATGTAAAAACTTATAAAATAAATTGAAACGGATAATCGTAATACAATACTAGTTACAACTTTAATGGACACAGCCGAATGAAACATTTACTAGAACGATCTCAATGATTAATTAAATGTTAAAACGTGGTTTGGAAACTTATTTGTAATTGGTCAAAAACCTCTATCATAGAGAAATCTGTATCGTAATAGTGTAATTATGCAACGGGTTGCCGCCATAAAATGACAGAGTTATACAATATGAGTAGAAAAACAAATATTTGAACAAAAACCACAGTGTAGTACAGTGCGTCAGGAAAATCTCTCGGCAACAAGCCGAATCA